GCGCGACGACATCGCTCTCGGCGGCGTCGCCTGCCGGGCGCTGCCCTGGACGGCAGTCGTCGAAGTGTTCGGATCTCAAGGCGAACTTGAGCCCAAGCGCTGCTGGAAGATGAAGGACGCTCGAGGTCGCGTCCTCCATCGGTCCCGAGGTGAACGCCAAACGTTCCTTAGCAGCTTCAATCCTTAGCTCGCTTACGAAATCGATCTCAGCTATGTCCGAAACCTCATCCGATGGCTGGCGCCCCTGGTTTCCGATCGGCCTTGCCGAGCCCCGAGCTTCGACCTCGGCCCTGACCTCACCCCTCAATATCATCCGGCTGCCCCCCCCCGGTGGACTCAAAATATGGCGCTATTTAACGACTGGGGTTTCTTTAGTTTTTCCGCGCAACAAAGCGGACGCATGCGATCTGGTTGAGAAGAGAAACTGTTTTCACACACAACGACAACCAGTGCGAACATACGCGTTCAAGTTGCGAAGGATCAGTGATACCTACATCGCAGATGCTGGGCGCTCGCGAGTAATCTTTGCGTTAGAGGGCAGCAGGGCCTGGTCTACTGATTCGTTCGCCGCCACTGCATGTTTCATGCGGGGCGCGAAATGAAAAAGGTGCCTCTGCTAAAAGAAATTGGGAAAACTGGGCCAGCATATCATGCTCTGTAAAAGTACGCGACTGGTCACCATGGCATTTCGATAAGAAGCCAATGACTAGTTTTGCCAACTTCGCGGCCGTGGCAATACACAGAGCATGTCGTTGAATTTGCCACATTACGTTTCTGTAAAAGGCCTTCAGCTGCTTGTGGAATGCTTCGTTGCGAGTCGTTCCAAATATCACATCATAGTTTGCGTTGTTGGCGACGTACCTGCAAAAGTTCTGGATGTACCCCAGCTCCCGCGCCGTCGTCGCGTGTTCCAAGCTGCTAAGCACTGTGGCATTCTTCGATGTTTTGCGTTGCATCATGTCGGGGTGCGTTGCGCAAATCGCTGCCAAGTCCTGAACGAAGTCGGACATGAGGTCGCACGGCTTCTCCACGTATCTGCTGCTGTTTCGGATGCGATCGTGCAAGCGCCTCGCATCCGACGGCCTTGTAAGCTCGTTTTTTGTTTGCCAGCTTTCTCTTGTACTGCTCGGTGTCCTTGTCTGGAGTGCCCATGGCTTCAAGCAGTGGCGTTTTGGCGGGGCTGAGAGCCTAAAAGCTTTTGCCCGCTACACCCTCCCATCCTCGTCTCATATTCCTTCCTTTCTTCCTCCCTCATTGGAGCGCAGTGCGATTGCAATGCAATGAGATTGCAATGCAACGCGATTGCCATGCAATGGAATGCAATGCGGAAGGGAGGGAGGAGGATGAGTGAGAAGGAAGGGCGAGGGAGAATGGAAGGGAGGAGGGGGAACAGGCACTCGGGAGAGAGATGGGGAGAGACTTCCCCAGGGCATTCGGACGTCGCTGTGTCTCCTCCTCCTCCGCCGCGTCCTTCTTTCTCCCATCCTCCTCCTCCTCCTCCTCCTCCTCCTCCTCCTCCTCCTCCTCCTACTGATCCTCCTGCTCCAACATCTGCTCCAAGTCCTGCTCCTCCTGGACACCGAAGTACGTTGAATTTACGATATATGTCAATGTCCCCCTGAAGTCCCCTTCGTGTACTTGTTTTTCTTGTTTTCTCCGGCCCTGAAAAATCTCCAAAAACCATCCGGCGGGATAGAGTTGACTGGGGCCATTCCAAACAGAGATGCCCTCAAAGCAGTGATGTTTGAATGGATTCCAAACCAGAATGTCGTCAAAACAGTGTTGTATGTTCTTGATAAAGGGCATCCCAAAATGGAATGCCCCCAACGCTTCCCCGTTCGGAGCGCCCCAAACACGGGTCCAGTCAAACAGTGCGGCGTGTTGTTAACAAGGGGCATCCTAAAAAGGGATACCCTCAACGCAGCGATGATTGAGGACATCCCAAACAAGAATACCTTCAAACAGTGCGGGGCGACGTTGATAAGGCATCCCAAAAAGGGATGCCCTCAACACAAGGATAACCTTCAGCAAGCTCCTCTTGGGTTCTTCTGGCTCCTCACCGATCCCCTTCATATCTCTATGGGCTTCCCGTTGGCTCCGTCTCGACGAATCCCTTTTGTAACAAGTTTTCAAATGATTTCCTTTCGTGGTGGATTATAATACGATTCACCGTTGTAGAGGATTACAAATGGATTCCTGTTGTAACGAATTACATATTAATTCCCTTGTGGGTGACTTCCAAAGGGATTCCTTTGGTGGCGGAATACAAAGGGATTCCTTATGTGGCCGATTACAAATTGATTTCTTTTGTGACGAATTACAAATCAATTCCCTCTGTGGCGAATTACAAAAGGATTTCTTTTGTGGGGGATTACAAATTGATTCCTTTTGTGGGGGATTGCAAATGAATTTCTTTTGTGGCGGATTACATATTGATTCCCTTTGTGGAGGATTACACATCAATTCCCTTTGTTGCGGATTACATAGGGATTCCTTTTGCGGGGGATTACAACTTGATTTCTTTTGTGGGGGATTACAAATTGATTCCTTTTGTGTCGGATTACAAATTGATTTCCTTCGTGGAGGATTTCTATGAGGAAACCAAGGAGAAAAGAGAGGAGAAAAAAAAAAAAAAAAAAAAAAAAAAAAAAAAATGTGAAAAGCATTTTGCTTTCAATGTTTTTGGTGTCGGAGGCAAGAAAAAGCATGAGGAAAGAAAAAAAAAAAAAAAAAAAAAAAAAAAAAAAAATCCAGCACCCAGAGCTCCAAAACGCTGTGTTTTACCATGTTTTTGCATTTCCCAATGCGGAAAACCTTGTAAAACACAACGTTTTTATCTACGAATGCTGAAAAACGTTGTGTTTTACAATGCTTTCGGCATCGGGAAATGCAAAAACAGTGTAAAGCATAATGTTTTGGAGCTCTGGGTGCTGGAAACTCTGCGTTTTCATCTTTTTCTTTACCTCCGACACCAAAAACATTGAAAACACAATACTTTTCATACTTTTCATTGATTTTCATGTTTTTTTCTATGAATCCTCCACAGAGGAAACCAATTTGTAATCCGCCACAGAAGGAATCAAATTGTAATCCGCTACAAAAGGAATCAATTTGTAATTCCCCACAAAAGGAACCCCTGTGTAATCCGCAACAAAGGGAAATGATTTGCAATCCTCCACAAAGGGAATCAATTTGTAATCCACCACAAAAGGAATCAATGTGCAATCCTTCACAAAAGAAATCAATTTGCAATCCGCCACAAAAGGAAACTCTCACCACCCAACGCCATCGCAAGAATAAGAAATTACAGATGCAAGCAAAACGAAAGAAATAACACCGAAAAACCAAAAACAGCACATCGTTAAATAGAACCATATTTTGACCTCCCCCCCCCCCCCCCAGACACGCCACTGCCTGCCTCAGACCGGGAAGAGCGGGAGGAAGAGGAGACAAGGAAATGGAAGAGGAGCCCATGTACCTTCCCCTGGCCTGAAACGCGCCACGCGACAGCTGCGGATATGCACGGAAGACTGACTCCGGAGGCTCGAAGTCCCTGGCGGACTGGGAAAAATTGCCCACCTGAATCGCACGGTGAGCCGTCGGAAGACGAGTCAGCTCGGTGCCTACTCCCAGCTTTGAACACTTCATGACGCTGCCTGGGAGATCGACGACGCCTCCGAGCATCTCCTGAAACCCTATCGGCACATGGGGGGCACGTCCTCTGAGAGGACGTCGAACTCGATGACCCCCATTCGGCCCTCGATACCTAAAGGAATTAGGGCGGCGCCCGAGACCTGAACGCCTCCACCCACGCCCCGGGCCCTATGTTTCCGAGGAGGCACCTTGGGAATGGCGAACCTCTGCGAGGCCCAGTGCCGCTCGATCCTGTCCAGGGCTGGCTGCCCTACCAGGCCCTGACCGGCCGCCGCGCCCACTACCACGGCCCCGGGCCCCACGGACAACGGAACTACAGCGTAGGGCGGAGGCTGGAGTGGAGCCGATCCCTCAGAGGTCTGGCCGTCGCCGCCCAGCGCGTTCATGCACGCGAAGCTGAGGCCCGCGAAGTGCGAGCCGCCGCCCCCCTTGGGCTGCTGCACGGGCTTGAGCGCGCCGACGCCACCGCCGCCCTTGCTGGGGCACTCCTTCGACCAGTGGCCCTTCTCGTGACAAAGCCTGCATCGCGCGCGCTTGATCAGCTCGGCCAAGGGCAGGCGGTTCTTGCGAGGACGGAATGCGCCATCCGCTGCTCTGCGGCCAGGCCCGCGAGGTTTCTCGGGCCCATCGGTGCCACGAGCCCCACTGCTGTCGAAGAACTGCCGGTCGACCTTCAGACGCCTCTTGAGATCCTTGTTATCCTTCCATGTCTCGCGGCGGCCCTGGTCGACGGCTGCGAGGGCGGCCGGAGCGTCGCCCTCGCCCACGCCCGCCGCCTCCAGCACCGCCCACACGGCCATCTCGCCGTCCGAGTTCATCGAGGAGACGTCGGAATAGTCCAGCAGAGACTCGCCCCCGCCCATCTCCACCTGCCAGGGCGCCGGGGGCATCGGCGGAGGCAGAACCGCGCCCAGAGGCGTGTAGGCAGGAGCCTCTGGTTCCACCGTCACGTAGGTCTTCGATTTGGCCGACACGTGCTCGCGATGGCTGATATCCATCTCCCTGATCGCTGCCAGCGCCGCCGTGTAGGCGCGCTCTCCCCGCGTGGAGATCTTGGCCGGCTGCGCTGATTTCTCGCCCAACCCGACGCCCTCCCCCAGGAACCTGAGCTTCCAGTCGTCTCGGAGCGCGAGGCCCTGGGCGGCCACGCGGTCGAACGCAGCGTCGATCCTGGCGCAATACTCGGCCAGGTTCTCGCTGTGACGCCTGCTATAGTCCAGGAGGCACTCTCGAGCCACTTTCCGTCGTTCATCTCCGTGGCGCTCTCCCGACATCAGATCGAGGCGCTCGAGAACAACGACCGCTCCTCGTTCGCTGCACAGCGTCTCGTCGTCTACGTCCTCGAGCTAACGCTGCAGGTCGGCGTCCAGAGACTTGAACAGCCGGTCGCCCTGCTTCCAGCGAGCGATGTCAGTCGCGCGGCGCCACCTCTGGATTTTGCGCCTCCACAGTCGGTAGTTGGCCCAGCTCTCCCACTTCTCGGGGTCTGCGCAGTCCTTGCCGCGAGGATTGTCGCCCCAGGTTCCATCCGGACCCCCATGGTTCCATCCGGACTGCCATCCCCGCTCATCTCCACCATCTCGCTCACGCGAGACCGAACCCCGACTCCCATCTGTCGCTGCTCCAGTCGGCACCTGCGCGAGACCATGGGTCTGCGCCCTGCCTGGACCACTTGTCGAAGCCACGTCTGTCGTCGCTGCCCTTCGGGTCCCACTCGGCCCCCGTCTCCCACCAGCGATCGCCCGACCCGGCCTCGGTCCCTGAGCCTTGGTGCGTCTGCGTGCCGATGGCACTCGACGTTGCACCGGCTGCTGAAGGGGTGCCGTCTGCTGGCCCCTCGCTCCAGCCGGTCCACCACCGTCGGTCGCCCCTCTGCCACACGCGGTGCGAGTCCTTGCGATCCGCCGAGTCGTCACCCTCCTGGTGGTCGTCCGGCTTCTCATCGTGACTCCTCATCGCTATCAACATCTCCTGAACCAGCTGCTGCGCCGTCTCGGTTGACATGTCAAGACCCTTTTCCCATGAGAGTTCTCACCGCTGCATATTGACCTGTGTTCGGCTCCCCGGACGCTGGGGGTGACTCTGAGTTATCATCTTTCCCCGTCGCTGCCGCCATCGGTCCGCGGAATCTGGAGTTCCACGCTCCCTTACCACTGTCGCCCGACAGGCGACAGCAGTGAGGATGAAGATGCTCTTCCCTTGTCACCACAACAGCGTGTCGCACACACAATCTCTCAGTACAGTCCAATGTGTAAGAAGAATAAGGGGGAGGAAATAGAGATGGGAAATGGAGGGTTCGTTAGCGTGAGTAGGATATGGGTCTTGAGCAAAAATGGGTACGACCCGTCCTCCTGGGCAAACAACTCACCGCCCTGTATACTTAAGTTCAGGGAGTCTCGGGAACGGATAATGGAAACATTACCAAACAATATGCCTCGAGACTCGAATTTCACACCGTGACTTTCCCTGATAGAAAACAAGGTGCGAGCCCCGGGGGAAGCACTTTAATTGACAGAACACAATGGTCACAAGAGGGGGGATCAACAATGGCTATTCTTCAGTAATGAAAATTCAACGACAACAACGACAACGACAACGACGACAACGACAACGACAACGAAAACGACAACGACAACGACAACGACACCAACAACACGCACGAAAGAAAACAACATAATGGGGGAGCAAAAACGGCACCTGCCGTAGGTCAACGTCTGAGGCCCTGCGCGTAGGGATGAAAAAACAAAAAAAAACGCCACATGCGGGGGAGGCGGCGCCCTGCTTTCGCGCTGCCACCGGGGAGCGAGGAGAGGCAGAAGCGCGGCACGCGTGGTCGAGTGCGAGGGGGGAGGGGCTGGGAGGGCGAAGGGCATCCGAGCAAGTGCGAGGGGGGAGGACCGGGGGGGAGGAGAAGCAGCGTGCGAGCAAGTGCGAGGGGAGAGGCGGGCGAGGAGAGTCCTTTTCTGGGGGCGGAGGAAGAGATGGGGAGCAAGCGAGGGAAGGGGAGGCGCGGGCTCACCATCACGATCGGGGGAGGGTAATCAAGAGGCGGGGGGGACGTGCGGGGGAAGGGCTTGAGGATCGCTGGGCCTCTTTCTTCGTTTCCCCGCCTCATTGGTGTAAATGCCCCCTGTGCTTCCTGGCGAGGGGCAATGCAAGGCAGGGACAGAGCAGGAGGGGAACCGCGATGGCGTGCGGGATACCGATGGAGGCGCGGCGCCCGCCCAGTGAGTCAGAACCCCTCGCCTGCGACCCCAACAGAGGCCTCCAAAATGGGGTCCGAGCAAATGGGGTGCACCGGCAATGCACTGGCGACGTCGGCGACGCAGCGGCGACATCTGCGTGGAAAGATCGGGCTCCACATCGAGCCGCATCGCCGACGCAACGTCGATGCGGCGCGACCCTTCGACCACATCTGCTTACTCGGCCCTCACCTGGGAGGCCGAGAACGATGCCCTCGGAAACCAGCCTGGCGGGCGGTTACCGCGCCCGCAACTTTCGGAGACGCAGTGACCTGGGCCCATGCAAACCCAGGTCAAGCAGGCCTTGCAGGATCCTGCAGGATCTTACAGGATCCTGCACCCAAACCTGGGTCAATGCGCCACTGGCCTTGCAGGATCCTGCAACATCAGGCGCTCTGACTGACCCCCCTTTGCATTGACCCCCGTGTCATCAGGGGGCTGCCAGGAGGGCGGCGTCCAAGATGGGGGGGCGCAAGTCATGGCCGGCGGCATTTGCGCGGCCCAAGGGGGGTCCATCGACGTGATGAAATAAGAAGAGGCGTCATGTGAAATCTGAGGAGATATCATGGCCCACGCCATGAGATCCACCCCGCTAATCATCACCCCCCTCTTGGCCGCCCCCGACTCATGGCTCCCGAGACTCCCCTCCGCCGATTCCCGGCGCCACTCGTCGCCCGCCCCCGCCAGCGGCGGCCGACCACTTGGAGCCGCAAGGGGGCCAGCCCCGCGCACGCTTGGGGCCCGCCTTTTGGCCCGGGCCAGGGCGAAGGGGCCCAGGCACACACAGGTAAAAAGACACACAAACCCCGTCTTCGTCGTCATCGCCGCCGCCGCCGCCGTCGTCGTCGTCGTCATTCAAGATCGGCGGCACCGGAAGCGAGGCCTTTCCAACAAAAAAACAAGTCCCAGGATCCCCGAAATGTTCCATACTTCCTGGAGGTCCGTCTTCCCCTCGACTTCCCCTATTCCCCAAACTCTCCTGGGAATCGACGAACGCTCGTGTTGCTTTTTTCCTCCTGAGACAGAGACGCCAACGGGACGCAGCGCCCGCCGCGCCCGCGAGGAGCCGCGGCGGCCGCGCCGCTGCAACCGCGCTGGTGCCCGCCCGAGGCGGTCGCGCCCAGGGCCTGCGTCGGCGTGGCATGGAGGGAGCGGGCCCTGAGGGAAACCGAGACATGCACATGTCTCGCGCTGGACACCCCTCCCTGGCGCGCGGAACGCGCCAGAAGCGGCGACGGAGGCGCCGCCGGGTGGGCCCAGCTCAGATCCAAAAAAAATCCGCGCAAAACTACCAAAAAAATACATGTGTGGTGTTTGCTTTCTTCTACAAAAATGCTCACGTCGCTAGAGACCTTTCAGATGAGCGACGATCACAAACCGATGTTGCGGGAGATGGCACAGCGACCTTGCGGCGTGGCTTGCGCGGGCCACCAGCGCAGCAAACCACCATGAGACGAAGGCGCTTACGCGCGACCTTACGCGGGCATCTTACGCGCCAATGTCGGTGCAGACGACCCCGTTGTGTTGCGCCGATCAGATGGGGTCGGAATTGACGTGGTCGGAGGATCGCGTCGCATCGCCGATGCATCCTGATGCACCGGCGATGCACTGGCGTGGAGAAAGTCTTGTGATCCACATCGAACCACAACGCCGAAGCATCGGCGATGCTCCGCAAGCCTCCGACCCCAGCTGCTCGGACCCTGGGGAGGAGGAGAGGGGGGAGAAGGAGGAGGGAAGGGGAAGGGGGAGGAGGAATTCGCGGGAATTCGTTGATATCCACACACTGGCAAGGAACTCAGCCAACGAGGACCCCAGGCGGCGCCCCACGGAGGACGGCCTCCCGCCTGGCAATGCCCAGTTCCCTGGCCAGAGACGCCCTGGACGACCCCTGGTGACTGGAGAAAAGACCCTTCTGCATGATCCGAAGGTTCTCCAGACCTTTCTTAGTGCGGGCACTGCGCTCGGCAAGTCAATGGCGCGGGTCCTCCGTGGCCGTTGTACCGCACGCCAAACAAAAAAGCAGCCCAAACTTGGGCCAGCAGTACAAAGTATCAGAAGAGTGACAAGCGTCCGCACCAACTGTCACCCCCCCTCTGGGCCGCACCACCCCATGGTCGGCAAGACTCGAAAAGTCCTGAGCTGCCGCATAACACGGCGTCGTGCTAAACTCCACCACCTGCGACACAGGAGCGACCGCGCGGCACAAGGAGCAATGCCCTTCACGTTCGGCACGGACCAAGCAGCGATCACTCCTTCGAAGAGCCCCTAAGAGGCCCTCGGAAACCGGCGATCCTCGGGAAGCCGCGTGGCGGACCAGGGCGCAACACTGATGGAGTCCACCATGGCTCTGGCCGCTCGGCGCCTGACCAGCGCCGCCGCACAATCCCAGACGTCGGTGTCGGGGGGCCTCTGGCCTTGAAGGCCATGGGCCCAGGGGGGAAGAGCAGCCCCCCCCCCCCACTACGGCGTCGGCACAACCGTTGCCCGTGGACCACAAAAGCTCCTGAGGGGAAAAAGAGGGGCCCTCCGAATCAACGCGCGACGGACACCGCACCACCTGGACCTCCCCCTCCCCCTGCTCAGCGAAAGCGGCTCGGACGCGAAAAAGAAAGTCCGATTCGGGACCTTCACAGTCCTCATGCCGTCTGGAGTTCCATCCCCTGTGGAGGGCAGCGCTGTCCGTGACAAAACGCACTGGGCCGGGAAACCTGCGAAGAGCGAGCTCACGCGCCCGAATCTCGGCCCTGGGCACCGTCTGACGGCGACCCCCGAGTGTCGCGGCGAAACCGCGGGCCCGCTGCAAGCCCCCTGAGACTGGCGCCAGCGCGGTCGCAGCCGCGCCCCCTTCGGCGACGAGGGCCGCTGCTGAACTGCCCGCCCGGGCTGTCTCCAATGACTACAAGCAAGCCGTCTTCTCGACAAGGGTCGAGCGCAGCCTCCAGATCCCCAACCGCCGCCCACTCCACGCCCCCACCGCCATCCCAAAAATCCGGACACGCGAAGGTTCGAGGCCAGAGCCCGCGCAGCTAGAGACTCGGGTTGGCCTCGTGGCCCGCACGGGCCTGGGAAATCAAATGCTCAGATTTCTCAAGGGCAGGGCCCCTTTTGTTACTGGGGCGCCCCCACACCCGATGATGGAAAAGGCCCCCTCGGGGCCCCCGCAACGCGGGCACTTGCGAGGGACCAAATTCCGTCGGGCAAGCTGGCGCCGGCGAGGCCATTGGCCACCAACTGCAACGGCGACCCCCGCCCAGCAAAATCAAATTCACCCCTGTTGAGAAACCTCTGAAGCTGTGACCTGAGAACGACAACATCCGCGCCTGACGCCAGATCATCGCCACGCATATGCTTCCACGCCCGCAGCCAAAGTTTGGACATAAGGTCCTCAGCGAAGTCACTGACAAGCTCCGCTATATTGAAATCGCCAGCCACGCGACCGACAGCAACGCCAGGAAATTGCCAGGCTTCAAACGCGTCGGGCCTGACAGGCCCGCGACACTCCGCGGGGGAAACAGGTGGCCAACCCGCGTCATTCAGGGTGGCGATGATGGCCCCTATAGGCCTTCGGACTTTCCCCCGCCCAAACTTGGGGGCGCGCCCGAGACGCGCGGCCACCGAAGGCCAAGCCTTGGAAGTCCGAGGGTGGAGGGAGGGCGCTCGCCCCAGACGTCGAGCCAGGAACGGACCAACTGGGCCCTGGAGCTGATCCTGGGGCCTGCGCCCCCGCAACACATCGCCACCGGCCGCTTGCCTGTTGAGCTGCTGGATGGAGGACGTGAAGAGGCCCCTAGCACGGTGTCCACGCACCGACTACGGCAGCGCCCCTCGGAATCAAAGGCCCTGAAACGACTCGACCAAGGGCGCAAACTTACGCGGTTTGCTGGTGCGAACTCCTCTGGAGCGGACCTTGCTCAAACATCGCTGGAGCTCGACGCGGGCGCGACGAGCCCCGCCCACCCACCCACCCAACCACCCACCCCCCAAGACGCGTCACACTCCAGATCCACCGTGTTTTTAACCAGAGAGGCCAGCACACCCAAACAGAAGCTCAGGCCCCAAATGGGGGCCGTTGACGACCAACTTGGTTTTGGATGAGATCGGGAGCTCCCGAATAGCTAACGACCGCACAAGCGAGTGCGCGAGCCCCGACATTTCACCAACCACGTCGGCCCATCTCCCCTCGGACCGAGCAGCAGTCTTCATCCACGAAAGTCTAGATGGCAGACGAGGCCGCGGCCTGCCTGAGGGCCCATATTTGATGATCCTCTTCCATGATGGGCCCGAGGAAAAGCTTGGCCAGCGAAACTCCCTTCGAAGACCCCGCGACCAGGGAACGCGTGAAATAAGAAGAAGAAGGAATGAAGGAACGAATTCGCTGGCCATGGCCCGAGATTTCATAACCCTGTCAGCGAGAAATATCAGGATCTCCACAAGGGCTACAATGGCAGGATAGCCCTGCGCCGGCGAAATCTGCATAATATTCCAAAGACTGCAATTACCGTAGAATTTGGCCCAGATCAAGAAGCAGCACGGCCACGGCGAATGCTAGCTCGCGGGCTAATTCGTCGCTGGCGGACCACTGGAGGGCGGCGCGCAGCGCGGGCAATTGCTTTGCAGAGTTGTCCCAGAAGTCGTTCCTGCCGCCTGCCCAGCGGTCCGCGGCCCCCGAACGAGCCCTGGACCACTTGCCCATGCGCTTCGGGAGGACGCCAACGATGCGCGCGCCCCCCGCCGGCTTCGGGAAAGTGGCGCACAGCGTCAGCGGCAACTGCAGAGGCCACGCCCCCACCTGCTGGGCCATGTTCAAGATGGCCACTACCTCCTGCTTAGCGGCCGGGGGGGCATCTGCAGGTCGGTCGGCCACAGGACGTCCATGCCCTTGGCCTTGGAGCCTGGAAGCTCGCACCACACGGGCTCCAACTCCTCGACCGCCAGCGGGTCGAACGCCTGCTGCTTCGCCTGCTGGTGGAACTGTTCCATCGCATCCAGAATATGGGTCCGCGTTGGCGTCGGTCCAGATGGGGGGCCCGCGCTGCGCCCACTCCGCCATGATGACCCGCGGGCCCCAGGCGGCGCCTGAGCGGCCATCGCAGACACCTCCAGGACCTTAGGAAGGCCCGGGTCCATCACGCGCCGGCGTAGGCACCTTGGCTCGTTGGCCCACATGTCCTTGGCCCATGTCACGCACGCCTGGGAAGCAGCAGCCATGGAACGCGCAAACACTCGGGCCGCCCACCTCTCGGCGACCTCAACCACCTCGTCGAATAGGTCGACGTCGGACTCGCCACTGGGGGGCAGCGCGAGGTCGACCCACCCGCCCACCTCCTCGGCGGCGGCCTTGCCCCCGAAAATGACGGAACGAAGCCGTTCTGGAGTTGAGGGCGGCGACGCACCGCCGCCGCCAGCAACTGCCGGGGCCGTCGCGCACCAGCGAGAGGCATCGCACGATGACGATGATAGACTCCGACCTTCCACCACCACCCCATCGCAGGAGATCCCACGCGGGCGCGCCCAGGGGGCGCCTTGGGGCGCGCCCACCGAAGCCCATGGAGCTGCCCACGCCCACAATACCTGCCCAATTCGTCGGCGGGGATCTGCTCGGCGGCGAGGGCGGCGCGCTCGACGGCAGACACGCGGCGGGCGCGACGCTCCGATAGGCCGGCGATTCCCGACCTGGCCCGCGGCATCACCCAAGCGACGCTCTCGCCCATCAAGACCAGCGGGGCGCACTAAGGAGGATCGAGCCAGCAAGCATATATCCCACACCTTCTCTTGCAGACGGGGGCCGTCGCTGGCTCGTCCTCCACGGGGCCGGAGGGGATGGACTTCGTCAAAGGTCCCCTGCATCACGTCGAACAGCCGCCAGCGAGCCGCCCTCCGCCTCCCCGCCCCCTCTGCCTCTCGCTGCCGGGGCTGGCCCCCCGCTCGGGCTTATCCCTGCGAGGCAGGGGCTGCGGTGAAGAGACCCGTGGACGCCACCAGTCTTTGCGGGCGTCGGAGATCTGGATGTCGTGACCCAAGGCACTTCAGTCAAGCCGCGAACCTGCACCTGCCCGTGGAAACCCCGTCGGGCGACGGCGCAGTCGATCCGGGAGGTGCTGTCGCCCCCGGCGCCCGCGCGCTGCACGTCGCTCGGGTAGACGACCGCCCGCCCCAGATGCCCAGGATGCCCGACTGCTGGAGCCCCTTCGGCGCGAAGTCCCAATCGGCCAGGACGACCCATGGATCGGCGAGGGTCGCCAGGGAGGCCGCGAGGGCCGTCGCCCTCGGGGCGCCGTCGCCCACGATCATGTGGCCCGGGAACAAGTAGGCGGAATGACCACCACGCTGCCACTGCGCAACTGTAGCGCGAGGGGCCAAACGCCCCGCAAGCAGTGGTCGCCCTCCCTCAAGCAGCCCCAGCTTGACGCAGCGAGGTGCCTCCTGACCAATGTCCAGTCACCCCCGCGCGTGCCCGACGCAGACTCAATCGACGCCTCCGCTGGAGTCGCCGCGAGATCCCAGCCGCCCTCGAGGCAGTCCAGCCTCGCTTTCAGCATCTGCGTCGAGCTGCAAAGGTCTCTGCGAGCGCCAGCACCTCGAACTGCTGGCCAAAGCCCCTGGAGAAGCCCTGGGCCATTGGTCCCGACTCGGCGATGTTGCCGGAAAAAGCCGCGCGCGCGCTCGGCCTGGCGATTGGACTCAGGCTGAGCTGGGCACCAGCTCGGCCACGGAAGCGCCCGCGGCCCGGCCCCCTCAACCCTGGGCGGCACCGCGGCTCGCGCCCCTGCCCCCCCCCCCCACACCCACCACACCACGCCACATCCCACTCGAAGCGCCGACTCCCCCCCCGGGGCGCACGGGGGTCGAAGGCCCGGGGCGAGCGCAGGGGAAGCGGCCACGGCCGCGCCAGCAGCCCAGGCAGCGGCAACCCGCGTAGGCGAGCGTCCTGGAATAGCTGTAGGAGCCGAGGATATGCCCTTCCCCTCTTCGCCGGCCGCAGCCGAAGGCGGGCCTCCGCGGCGGGCCTCAACACCGCGGCCAGGGCGAAAACTGCAAGTGGCCGACTGCGGCCGGGAGCTCGAGGTGAAAGGCGGCTGCCCCAGAACGGCCTGCGAAGGCGGCTCGGAAGCGACCGCGTGGAGGAACGGCCTGCCGCAGAAGGCAAGCTCGACAACGAACTCGTGCGCGGCCTGCTCTGCCCTCCTTTTGCGGTGCCCTCTCGTCGCAGACATCGACGGCCTCCGCCGTGGACCTCTCGTGGCGGGTGAGCTCATCCAACCACGCCCCACGGTCCGTCTGCGCGGGCCCCCGCAGGCCCACGCGGTAGTTGGGCCGAACACGACGCCGAGAGCGCCGCGCCTCGTCGTAGATCCCCCGCACCAGGTCTAGCTGAATGAAAGCTGCATTACCGCGACCAGCCGCCTGCAAGGCGTCGTCAGTGAAATGGCGGTTGTCGGGATGGGCAAGCCAATCGGCGACGCGCTCGATGCCCAGCGCCATCCAATGCGCAGACGCTCCATCCTCATCCAGAACGGTTGGGTCGCAGAGCCGGGTCTGCGTGCGCGCCCTCAGCCTCCGTTCGAGCACCCGCTTGCGGAAAATAGCACGGCGGCGCACAAAGCCCCGGTCCTTGGCCAGCCGCGCCACACCAGGCTCCTCGCTAAAGCGAGGGATTGCCTCCACCAGGGTCGGCGGCAACCTCGGCTGCCTCGGCTTTGACGTCTGCGGCCTGGGCGGCCTTCGCCCGAGCAGCGGCCCGCAAGGCCTCGGGGACGCCGACATCTCGCACAGGAACAGCAACGCCGTCAGCAGGAGCAGCAGCGGCGCCGCTGCTAGCGGCCGCAGACCCGCCGCAGTGGCCCCCTCGCTGGCGGAGACCGCGCCCGCGGGCCTTCGGCGGCGCTTGGTCTGCATCCTGGCGCGCAGCTTCTCGGCCTCCTCGCGGAGATTGATGATCTGCTCGGCTGCGGGCCCCAAGGCCTCCTGCAACCTTCTCCTGCACGCTCGTGGCGAACTCGGACGCGATGCGCTTCCACTCGTCCTTGTCGGCGCCGTCGATGTCGAGACCCGCCATGTCGAAGAGGGGGCCCTCGACGATCTGCAGCGCACCCTCGTCAACGAACGTCGAAAGGTTGATGGCCGAAGCAGCGGGTGCCTCGGCCTCCTCCTCCTCCTCAAGCGGCTGCGGCGGCAGCTGCTTGGCGCAGGCTGCCTCCCAACCCTGATGGGCCTGGTGCGCCACCTGCACCGCGAGGTCCTCCGCCTTCCTGGCGTCGGCCAGCCACTGCTCGCCTTCGAGAACGCGGGAGGAGCAGGACTCGAACCATGCCTGCGCGCGCCTGCACACAACCCCCTTCGCAGCGACCTCCTCCTCAAGGAGCGGCTGGCGCTGCGCGGCGGCTGGCGGAGCGTTGGTATCGGACAGGAGGGCCTCCACGCGCGCCAGCTTCCCCTTACCCTTGTTCCCGAGCTTCGCCGTCCGTTCCGCAAGCGAGTCCCCGGGCTCCGCAGCAGCTGCTCCACCATGAAAGTAGATCCACGGACGCATGTCGATTGGCATTGCCGCCGCCTTGGCCTTGGCCTGGCCACGGGGCGGGGGCGGCTGGCCCTTCTTGCCGCGGCCCTTGCCCTTGCCTGCCGCGGATGTTTCAGCAGGCGTGGGTGCCTCAAGAGGCGACCCCCCGATACGCGACTGCATGAACGGCGAATCCAAGATGGCGGGCGGCCCGAACGACCACTGCCCACGAGGGCGACGATCCGCAGCCAGGCTTTCCACCAGAAGGCTTGCGCACTGGAAGCACCACTGGTTGTTCTTGGAATTCCACCGGAACTTGCAGCGGGGGCACGGCTTCGGGTACTGCTGGCGCACCCGTCCCAGGCCAGCCTCGAGCCAGCCTCCACTGCCATCGCTGCGGCCCATCGACGGCGGGGAAGCTCTCACGAATGAACGAAGAGCTGCGACACCTGGGGCGGGCCAGGCGCCGCGAGAAGTTGTCAGGCGTAAAGCATTAGCTCTGCTGGGGACTAGCAGCTTACAGTGTGGCACGGAGACGCAGAGCCCCCCTGCAAGAGTCTTGAGCCAAAATGGCTACGGAGGGGGAGGAGGAGGAGGAGGAGGAGGAGGAGGAGGAGGAGGAGGAGGAGGAGGAGGAGAAGGAAGAAGAAGAGGAGGAGGAGAAGGAGGAGGAGGAGGAAGAGAAGGAGGAGGAAGAGAAGGAGGAGGAAGAGAAGGAGGAGGAAGAGAAGGAGGGAGCTTCCGAGTCATGCAAAAATCACGGCGGGAGATGGTAGGCCGTTTTCGGCCCCCAGGAGGGCCCTCTCCGGACCCCAGGAGCCGTCCGAAAAGCGACTCGGGATGAAAGCCCAGCCCCGAGGGAACGGTCGGGGTTCTTGGGGACCATGCACTGCAAAAATCAAAGCGCGCCCTGGGGGAGAAGTGAGAGGGAGGGTAGGCCTTCTCAGAAGGTGGCGGGGCTTCTCTCGGCGGCGATCGAAGGGGAAATGAGCAGGAGAAGGCCTTCTCAAAGGCGGTGGGACTTCTCAGAAACCCTCGCGCCTTCTGAGAAGTTTTCCGTGTCTCCTGGGAAGATAAAGAAAGATTCTCAGAAGGCTGGGGGACTCTTCCGAGCCCTCCGAGAAAGCCGCCCCTTCTCACTTGCCCCCCTCGCTCGCCGCCGATTCTCAGAAATCCTCTGGCCTTCTGAGAAGCCGTCTGTGCCTTCGGAGGAGACTGGGAAAACTGCTCGGAAGGCTGAGACCCAGACCCCCTCGGGTCATGAGAAAATCACGACGCGATGTTTCTCGCCATTTTCGGCTTCTGGGGGCCCTTACCGGGCACCGGGACCGTCAAAAAATGACTCACAATGAAAAACTGGTCCCAGGGAATGGGTCGAGACCTGTGGAGGTCGACGTTCTGAAAATCATGACGTCGGGGGAAGACCCGCCCCCTCTGATCTGCATTCCCCCCGGGCTCGCCACCGAGGATCGCATGCCTGGGAGCGGGCTCTGGACCAGGCCTCCTGAGCAGGTCTCTGACAATGCAGGGGCCCAGGGAGGCCCCGAGAGCCCGAAAGCGGCGAAAAAGGTCAGGACCCGTTCCCAGACCTCCAAGGTCTTGTTTTTTCGACACGGGATCTCCAGAGCTCTGGACCAAGCTCCTGGGACCAGTTTCTCATCCCGAATCGTGCGTTGCCGGTCCCAATTCGCGATGCCGTCTCCCCGCTTGCCCGAGCCGAGCACACGTGCGGACTGCATCTGCCGCGCTGCGACGTAAAAAGTGCTTCGCCAATCCCATGGGGCCTGGCGAGGGCCCCCAGACGTCGAAAACGACGAGAAACCTCCGTATTGTTGTTCCAACTTTGGACACCCGGTTTGGGTATGGGAAAAATGGGTAAGATGGCCAGCTATAAATGTTGGCCAAAACCGACAGCGGCCACTGTTGGGCAGGCGGCCTTCCAGCTGAAATGCACAACGTCCGCGACTACACCGACAGCGTGTCCTGCTGAGAATTCACAGGAAATACGGTCGGTCTTTGTATCCATGTTTTCCGCATCTACATCGACCGTCCCGATCAATACTCGGGGGCGTCCGACAAGGGGGCGTCCAGGAGGGGGGCTCTGAAATCATTGCCCGAGGCACGTGCGCGGCTCGGGGAGGGCGACAGGAACGTACTGAAATGAGAAAAGGCGCCATGGAAATTCACGGAGAGATATGGCCCTGGCCATGATGCCGTGCTGCCGAGCCGACGGCCTCGTAATTTTCGAAACGTTTGCAGGGCGCCGCGCAGATCATGCAACTGGGCATCGGGACGAGAGCGAGGCTCCTGGAAAAGACGGGCAGGGGCCGAGCCGACCCTCAAAAGCACGTATGCATAAACACGAACTCTCGGGGCGCTGGCGGATTTCTTGGATCGGCGCTGCCGCTCCCTAGTCGTCGCCCCATTCCTTGATTTACCCGAAAATTGAAATTGGCTTCGAATCGATGGCAAAAATAAAACATATCTAGATATGATCAAAATTCGACGCATTCTAGAAGAAAAACAAGTCAGTGGAAAATGAATTCTGTAGTCGGTCCCCTACACGTCGGTCGGAAGAAGTTGATAAAAACGTGAAGTAGGAATGCCGATAACGTAGATTGGGTCCAGGCCCTCCCAGAGAATAACACGACACAGCAACAGCGCATCGACTCTTGAAGTAGGAAGGCGCTCGAAGTAGCTCGGGACTGGGGCATCCAAAAATACCTACCTCCAACGACCGGCGGGCATTCGACTCCCCGCCCCCCCCGAAAGACCTTTGGGGGCCTGGGATTCCCTCGGGGCCTCCTGCCCTCCGGAGGGCGGCCTCAATGCCCCGAGGCGGCGGCCGGGAGCCCGCGGAGGAGCTCCGCCTGCAGCTCCCGCGGCAGCCCCAGGCGCGCCAGCTGCGCCGGCGTCAGGCGCGGCAGCTGCCTCTCTCGGGCAGGCGGCGACATCCAGACCCGTCGCCTCGATTCCGCCCTTGTGGGCCTCCTGGGATTGGCGGCGAGCGAGGGGGGGAGTGAGAGGGAGAAGGCCTCCTCAGAAGGCGCGGAGGTCCCCTGGCCTTCCGAGAAATCTTCTGAGCCTTCCCCGAAGACACCGCGGGCCTCTCCGAAGGCGCGAGGGCTTCTGAGAAGTCCCGCCGCATTCTGAGAAGGCCTCCCGCTTCTCACTCTCCCTCCTCGCTCGCCGCCGACGGCAGGGCCTCGCCGCCACCGCTGGATTCGCCCGGAAATCCGGGTCAGAACGCACCCCGGGAGAGGTCCACGAGCCCTGCCCTCGCCTGCCCTGGACCTCGACAGCGCTCTCCGCCGCGCCCCGAGAAGGCCCCGCGATGACACCGTCGTGCTCCCGAGGCCGCAACGGTGCCTACGGCCAACCCGTTTCACAACGACGCGCGATGAGGATGCGGGGGCCCTGGAGGGCCATGTCGGCACTTTGCGAGCGGGGCCTTGCCAGCGAAAGCGGCCAGCGATGGGCCGAAGGGGAAGGATGCAAGGGTGACCTTGAAAAGTCACTCATCCTCACCATGCGGGTTGACTTTACCCCCGGCCAAGCATCGATTCTCATGTTTTGGTGCCCGCTGCGCCCTGTTGGAGCTCGCTCTCTTATCTTTCGCCTGCGTGCCACAGTTTGCTCCAGGTGCACCCCACCGCTTGCTTGACCTGCGTCTGACCGTCTTGTATCAATTGGCGCCCGCAGACTTAGAGAAGTTGTTGTGCCCCCGACAGGCCCCTTCACCTCTTCGAAATGAGGGCCCTCCCCGACGGGAAAGGAGACCAGTGGCGGAGAGGCGAATTGGTAATCCCCAGAACCGCCGAGAAAGAATGAAAACAGCCGTGGAGAAGCCCTCGACGCTCCAGAATCCGTGGCAGGCGGGGGGAGGGCTCGGATTTCGCAACGCACTCGACGAATTCCAAGCACTGGCCCTGCCTCCCATCGCGCGGCCCGGCTCGTTGATCGGCGAGGGTAGTGATTAGCAAAAAACCTTTTGGGAGGGGACCTAAGTTAGGAGGTCCAGAAACATTAGGGACAGGTCGTCTGTTCTGCAGATGTATCAAGCCACACCGCCCAGACTTATTATGTCTAATGCAAAGACGGGGATCCCGGTGAGGCCACGTCTTCACTGTGTTATTCAGGTTGGGGGTTCTATTCTTCTGGTTGAGGTAGGGTTCGGACTTCGCCGCCGAACCTCGGCGCGACGACCCACTCGGCGGCCAACTGTGCCGCCCAGCGGTCGGCCCCCCCAGGCGGCCAGCCCAGCGCGGCGCAGGCGCCGCGCAGCAGCTGCAGGAGGTCGTCGGACGCCCAGGCCCCCGACGTCGGGCTTCTGCTGCTGTGGCCCCAATCCCCGCCAGCGAGAGCACCCAGGGGCCGACAATCGCAAAAAACGCAGCAGCAACAACAACAACAATACTGTTCGCTCTTATCTGCTCGAGTGTCCGTTAACACGTATTTCCCAAACCCTCGATACACGCCCTCTTCGTCTTCGATCGTACCCCTCATGGGGGTATACCTTTCTTCCCTGCAGGCCGGGCCCCGGCAAGCGGCGGGGCGGCTGCGGACCGTCGGCCTGGCCAGCGGCAGCTCTGATCGGCGGCAACCCGACACCACGAGGGACGGACAGGAGACCGACCACGACGACGACGACGACGACGACGAGCGAAAGCGAGAGCGAGAGAGAGAACGATAGCAGGGCCGCGAAGGGCACGAAGTAGGCCAGGAAGGGCGACAGCGGGGACACGAAGGGCATGCACATGGGGCCACGAAGAGCGCGAACGAGCGGGGGCCACGAAGGGCAGATAATGCGGGGCCACAGAAGGCAACGACGGGGCCACTGAGGGTAGCAACTGGGCCACATAGGACAGCGATGGGGCCACAAAAGGCGACAGCGGGGCCACGAAGGGCATGCACATGGGGCCACGACGGGCGCGAACGAGCGGGGGCCACGAAGAGCATACGTATTTTGGGCCGCGGAGGGCAAAGACGGGGCCACTGACGGCAGCAACGGGGCCACGTAGGACAGCGAGGGGACCACAAAAGGCGACAGCGGGGCCACGAAGGGCATGCACATGGGGCCACGACGGGCGCGAACGAGCGGGGGCCACGAAGGGCATGCGTAGATTGGGCCGCGGAGGGCAAAGACGGGGCCACTGACGGCAGCAACGGGGCCACGAACGGCAGCGAGGGGGCGACGAACGGCGACAGCGGGGCCACGAAGGGCATGCACATGGGGCCACGAAGGGCGCGAACGAGCGGGGGCCACGAAGGGCATGCATACATGGGGCCACGAAGGGCTGCGAGGGGGCCACGAAGGGCTGCAACGGGGCCACGAAGGGCAGAGAGGGGGCCACGAAGGGCTGCAACGGGGCCACGAAGGGCAGCGAGGGGGCCACGAAGGGCTGCAAAGGGGACACGAAGGGCTGCGAGGGGGCCACGAAGGGCAGGGAGGGGGCCACGAAGAGCAGCGAAGGGGCCACGAAGGGCTGCAACGGGGCCACGAAGGGCAGCGAGGGGGCCACGAAGGGCTGCAACGGGGTCACAAAGGGCAGCGAGGGGGGCCACGAAGGGCAGGGAGGGGGCCATGAAGGGCAGCGAAGGGACCACGAAAGGCTGCAACGGGGCCACGAAGGGCAGCGAGGGGGCCACGAAGGGCTGCAACGGGGTCACGAAGGCCAGCGAGGGGGCCATTAAGGGCTGCTACGGGTCCACGAAGGGCAGCGAAGGAGCCACGAAGGGCTGCAACAGGGCCATAAGGGCAGCGAGATCCCGACTCCTAAAAAAATCGGGGAAGGAGTCCTAAGCGTGAGCGCGACCCCTGTGTGCCTGATTGTCGGGAGCGCGGCGCTTGAGTAAATTGCGGGAAATTCCATCGCAAGGGCGCTATTCTTGAGTAAATTGCAAGCGAGTCTCCAAAGAGAGCGCGACTCCAGACCGCCGAGAGAGCGAGTCCTGAATACATTGTAAGGAACTAACTCCCCAGCGAAAGCGCGATTCCTGAATAAAACGCGAGGAAGTCTCAGGCGGGAGCGTGGTTCCTAGCTGAATTGTGAGGAGCTTTCAAACAGGAGCCGTTGTTGTTGTAATCCGGGGGTCCCTGATAAAGAAACCAGGTGCGAGCGCCGGGAAGGGCACTTCAATGGAAAAAAACAATGTGCACCGGAGAGGGGGGATCAACAATAATTATTCTTCAGCAGTGAGAATTCAAAACAAACATTATATCCTCATGCGCGATGTTTCCACACGCAGCATGGGACCATCATGATAACCATCCCCATCATGGGGGATTATTATTCTATCGCGGGGGTCCAATATTTCCCACAATTTCCAATCTTGCAAACACCTCCTCCGACGAATTTCAACATTTCCCGCCTCGAAAACACATGCCCGCGCCCTGCTTCGACGATGCGAAGCCGCCAGTGGAACCCCAACCAAAGGTTAAGCACAAGGAAGGATCGCGCGATAGGATTGGCTTGGTGGGGATGGGGGCTGTCGGCGGCGAGGCAAGCACCTGACCTGAATAGAAAAGGAGGAAGTCTCAAGCAGGGGTGATGTTGTTGCTGGGAGCGGCGCCAATGCAGAAGAGAGTTGGGCGCGACTCCAGCGTGAAACGACACGAAGTCTCGAACGGGAGCGCTGGTACTGTTGGGACGGCGGCTTTTGGCGGCGAGGAGGAACACCGCCTTGATAAGAAGGGAAGAAGTCTTGAGCGGGAGCCGCGGAAATGTCGGGACGGGGGCTGTCGGCGACGAGGAACAGCACCGCCCTCAGGAAAAAGGGAGGAGGCCTCAAGCGGGAGCGTTGTTCTTGCTGGGGTCGGCACCAAGTCAGAAGAGAGTTGGGCGCCAGTCCAGCGTAAAACGGGAGGACGTCTGGGGCGGGAGCGCTGGTTTTGTTGGGACGGCGGCTTTCGCCGGCGAGCAAAAGCACCAGCTCCGAGTAAAAAGTGACGAAGTCTCGAGCGGGAGCGTTGCTCTGGCTGGGGACGGCACAAATGAGAGAAAGAATAGCGCGCCAGAACAAGGTAAAAACGGAAGAAGTCGGCGCCTAGGGGGGCCCAACAATAACAATTACTCGATAATCAACACTCAACAACAACAACAACAACAACAACAACAACAACAACAACAACAACAACAACAACAACAACAATCATTTAAGACTGGGGACACTCCGTTCTCACCAGTGCCAGGGTTTTCATAGGAGGCGGGCAATACCCCCACTTTGTGGGGGGGCCGGTTCAAGCTCTACCAAATTTCCAAACGACTCTTCGCCACCACCCACACCCAGCTTCCCGCCCTATGACGTTCGGACACTTCACTTCGTGGCCTGCGGACGACCTTGGCTATGGTGGCGGATGGCAGAACCGCGCTGCTCCTCCAGCTCCTGGGCGCTAGAAATACTAACCTTGCCAGGCACAACCCGATATTTGCCCCACCGAGTCTTGCACGCCTGGTGACTGACCTGGATACCCTTTGCAACGAGCGCCTGATGCAAATAATACGGGCTCTCGCAGTCGGCCAAGGGAGGCCGCGACAGCTCTGGGCCATACTGGTCGTCAAGGGCTTTCGCCGACAAAGCCATGACCCATCCAAGAACACAGGCGATACCTTGATCCGAGATGGCTACGGATGTGACAGTGATCAGTCGGAGGCTTCCTGGGGCCGCTTGGGGTCCTCTTGGGGAAGGGGGGAAGCCTCCTGGCGCCGCTTGGGGTCCTCTTGAGGGGCTTTGGGGGGCTTCTTGGAAGCATCTTGGGGCCTCTTGGGGGCTTATTGGGTCCTCACGGCGGGCTCTTGGGGCCTCTTGAAGGCCTCCTGGGGCAACCTATGGCGCAACCAGTAGGGGGACGTTTTATTCTCGGCGGCCGAGGGCGCAACCTATGGCGCAACCAATAGGGGGGCGTTTTATTCTCGGCGGCCGAGGGCGCAACCTATGGCGCAACCGCAAGGGATTATGGCCCCTGGCAGGCGCGCGAACCCCGTTGCAAGAGCGTGCGAAAGTAGCTCGCGCGAGCTCATGTAACATAAATGTTGGAAAACCATTGGTTTTTTTAGGATTCGGACAGCGCGCGCGGGTGGAAATTTTGAAAAGTCGTGCAGGTGTTTTTCGAGGACCTACGGTGCGATTCGTGTGATTTTATGATGCGCGGTGCTAAAATTCTTAAGAACCCAATGGTTTTTGGAGATTTCGGCGTGCGCGCGCGAAGAAAAAACGAATGTGTCCCGCATGGTATTATTTGACAGGGATGATGGCCCTGGCAGGTGCGCAACCGTTGTCGCAGAAGTTCGAAAAAGTTGCTCGCAAAAGCCCGTTTGACAGAAATGTTTAAAAAGTGTTGGGTTTCCTACGAATCCGCAAGAGCGCGCGGGATGAGATTTTGACATTTTTTTGTTGAAAAACCATTGGTTTTTTGATGTTTTTATGTTAAAATCGCTCCGAACACTAAGCTTTTGGAAGGATTTCGTCTTGCGCGCGCGAATGTCCACTTTACCTTATTTTTTGCAAGGGATTCTTGAAATTTGATTATATTAGAACAAGAAATGTCATTTTCTATTGTTTTTTGCAAGGGAAAGCGGATTACAACAAAACAACCGGATCCTGTACACACCCTCTTTTCTGAGGCTTCCTCACGAAAATGATGAAAATGTAGCTGCGGCCTAGGCGGCGCAGGGGGGGCGCGCACCAGGGGGCCCAACAATAATTATTCTTTAGAATAAATAATGTTCAACAACAACAACAACAACAACAACAACAACAACAACAACGAGAGCAGCAACAACAACAACAACAACAACAACAACAACAACAACAGTAACAACAACAACACCAACAACAACAACAACAATAATAATAACCACAACAACAACAACAGCAGCAGCAGCAGCAACAACAACAACAACATGAACAACAACAATAACAACAACAACAACAACAGCAACAACAATAACAACAACATCAACAACAACAACAGAAAGGCGTGCACACCCGCCCCGGTCAGGGCCGGAGCCTCCGGTGGACGGGCGCACACTCCGGCCCCGTGGGCCTGTTGGCCTGGGACGCTGTGTGACGACGACTTCTCTGGCCCTGCGCGAGGCCATCTGCGGCGGTTTCGCGCCGCAGTGGGCAAACGTACACTCCGGCCCCGTATGCCCCGTCATCTGTGCTGTTCCCTCCACAGAAGACGCTCCCCGTGCGCTACCCCCTTCTCCGGCCCCGTGTGCAGCTAAGACACCCTCAGAGACCCTCACGACGACGACCGCGGCGACGACAACGACGACGACGACGACGACGACGACGGGGATCCTGAGGAGTCCTCGGGAGCCCTGAGGAGTCCTGAGGTGTCCTTATGAATCCTGAAGAATCCTGATGGATCCTGACGAATCCTAACGAATCCTGAGGAGTCCTGATGAGTCCAGAGAAAACCTAGGGGATCCTGAGGAGT